ACGGGCTGTTGGCCTCCTGCCCTGCCCTGCCTGCCCGTCTCCCTGCTTGTGGGAGCCTTAAGGCACAGAGAGGTGGGCGCTTTGGGGCGAGGTGAAAGCCTCCTTGCACAGCCCGTCTCCAGGTCATGTTTCTCCTTATTCTCCCTCTGATCCTGTACCTCTGATCCTCCTGTTTCCCCGTGTCCTTGCAAACGGACCCTGCACAAAGTTCCTTTCCAGTAGTTTTGGGGAAGGATCTTGGGTTTGACTCTTCCCAGCAAGCAGGCTGTGAGGCAGCCCCTTTGCCCTGTGCATAGGGAAGAGGAGCTCAGCTCCCTGCTTGGAAGTGCAGGGGTGCTGCCTTTCTGCCCCTTCCAGGACACGGGTGACACGCTGGGCAGTGTGTTACGGGGCTTCTTCACCATCCGCAAGAAAGAGCCAGGCGGGCGTCTGCCAACCTCCTCTACGTGTTTCAACCTGCTCAAGCTTCCCAACTACAGCAAGAAGAGCATCCTGCGGGAGAAGCTGCGCTACGCCATCAGCATGAACACCGGCTTCGAGCTGTCGTAGCGACCGGGGCTCCCGGGGCTGCTGCCGGAGCTGCAGGCTCCGTGCACAGAGGCTGGACCAGCTCTGTGGGACCTGGCTGCTCCCTCCGGGGTCCGGGAGATGCAGCCGGTTCTAGAGTTCACGGGCAAGAGCTGCTGGGCTCAACGGGGCCGGCTCTGCTTGGGCCTCCTCCAGGGTGGAGGTGATGAGCCTGGCCCCATACACTTCACCTGTCACCCCTGTAAATCACCCTCAGGAACAACCCCCGGGGAGGCATGAAAGGAACAGTCAAAGTGCCAGATTAGTGACCACAATACCCCGGCAGGCCACGCGGTCTGGGCAGCTGCTGCTGGCCAAGGGCTTCCCCTCCCTGCCCCGGGAGCGGGACTGGATTCGAGGGTGGAAGCCAGTGTGTGGAAAGGTTCTCGGGGGAGAAACGCGGAGCGCAAGGGCAGGAGCGGCACGTGGTGGCGGCGGGGCCGTCGCCGTGCGCCCTGCTCGGGGCCGGCTGGAGGACGGGCCGCTTGCCCAGGCCCGGAGCAGCCGGCAGGGGCCGGGGGAGCCCTGGAGCTGCCCGTGGGATGTGTGGCAGTGTTCCGATTGGATCGGGAGCTGGGAAGTTGCAATGTGGTTTTGCTTCCAGAGCGCAGGAGCCGGCCCCAGCTCCGCAGCCCTGCGCAGTGCCCGCCCGGGAAGGGGCACGTTGGGCTGCCCAGAGCCTCCGGAAGCCTCTGTGGGCAGCAGTGCTCTTGCTAGGAGCTCCATTTCAGCCCTGCACTGCCTGTCCTTGGGCTGAGGGGCTGTTCCGAGCCCAGGCTCAGCCTCCGCGCAAAGCCCCGTCGGCTCTGCGGCCGGGCTCTTGGTTTCACTTGTTTGTCCCTCTGGTGTCAGTAGCCGTTTGCCTGCAGCAGGCTGGTTTTTCAGGCGGTTCTGGAGGCTGCGTGTGTGTGAGCACGAGTGTGTGTTGTCCTCGGGAAGGGCAGCACCCTTCCTGCCGTCCCTGACGAAGGCAGAGCCTGTTCCTTGCAGCGTGTCCCTCGCGCCGCCGCAGTCCTGCCTCGGCCTGGCCCCAAACGTCCCCTCGGCGCCGGGGGGGCTGGTGGCACAAGAGGGCCATGGAGGTTCCCCTGGGCACAGGAGCAGGAGCCGGAACCTCCCTGTCGCTGCGGCCGCTCGCTATGAGAACAAGCGCAGGGGAGGCCGCTGCCCTCCGCCTTCCCGGCCCCCTTCCCGGCACTCCGAGCCGGACACGGCCCCTGCCTCGTGCTCTGCCCTTGGCTGCTGAGTGGGTCCACGGAGCTGCTCCCCACCTCACCCCAGGGCCCCTTCGTGCTGCCAACAGACCAGAAAATACTTGGCACCGTTTGCCCACCAGCGCAGGAATGCCCTTTGAGTCGTCGTCTTCCTGCGTTCTGTCAAAAAAATAACCTTTTGGAAGCAATTGTTGGAAATGCACCTGGAAAACGATGTTGCTCGGGTCCTTTTTCCTGTGCAAACGCTATTGAAGGGGAGCAAGCGGGAGTGTGGGTGAAGGTGGCCCCACCGTGGGCAGGAATTCAGGCTGTGGAACAGAGCAGGTCTAGAGCAATGGAAGAGTTAGTGACTTCTGTTTTGTTTCGTTACGTAGAGAGGAGTGTGGTGTAAACAGCTGCTGAGAGCGCAGCGGAGCGGCTCTTGCACTGACTTGTATCAGGCTTGAAGACCTTACACGGCGTTGAAGACCTTTCCCCCGGGACGGTGCCGTGTCCCAGCAGAGCACGAGGAGACAGCTCCTTGAGGGCGGTGGAGGGAGATCTTTGTTCCCTCCGGAGCGCAGCCCCGGGCTGGCACCGGCCTCGCCGCCCCGCGCCGGGGCCGCTGCAGCCGGGATGGGGCCGGGGCCTGTGCGCGGCGGCGTCGGGCGAGTCTCGGAGCTGCTCCGTTCCCTGACCCCCTTTTTGGCACACGCACGGGGCTGCAGGTTTGTGCCGGGCGCTGCGGCCAGCGGCAGGGAAGGTTTCCTCGTGGGAGATTAATGACTATTTTTCTATACTAGACTTGCTGCTGTGGAGACCTTGGTACATCCCTCGTAGCAGAAAACGCAGGGAAGAGAAAATAAAGCTGGTCTGAGTAAGACAAGGGGCGTCGTGTCTTGTTGGCCCCCGGGCCTGGGAAGCGGGGTCCTGTCCCGAACGCTGTCGGGTGGCTCTGGGCAGCTCCGCTTTGGGAGCGCGGCGGGACCCGGTGCTCCGGGCGGCACTGCCGTTGTGACACGGACGCAGATGGCACTGGGAGAGCCCCTGCAGCCTCCGTGTCACCCGCAGCCGCTCCAGCCCTTCCTCCTCCTCCTCGGCGGGAGCAGGGAGTCGCCGTGCCTTGGCAGGACGCGGTTTGGGGCGTTCGTGCAGAGCAGCAGCCGGCTCTGCGGCTCGCGCGCGGCGGCAGCAACCGAGGGCCTGAGTTATAGCGAAACTTATCTCCTCCTGCAGCTCCAGCAGCGTGAACAGATGTACGGGCGTCCGATCCAATCATGCAGCAAGAGATTTGGGGGCCGGTTCTTCCAGTTTTGACAGTGTGCAAGCTAGGGGCAGCCATACATTTTACAAACTAGAATAAACGACCCTTAGCAACATATGTCTGTGCTGGCAGCTACAGCGTAATCCGAAATCAGGAACCCTGCCGGGCAGGAATGGATGGGGGCTCTGCGGCCGGGCAGCACGGATGCAGCAGCTGCCTCCTGCCCCTCTTAATGAGGTGCAGGCGCCGGATTGCAGCCTGCACAGAGGGGGCTTCGCTATTTTAAAGGCTCTATGTGGTTTAAGCCACCCTTTACCCAGGGGCTGCTGAGCTGAGGGGCAGCTGAGCTGCCGGCTGCTCCCTGTGCTTGGTCTTCTGATCCGTGCTCACTCCCAGATCCAAGCAGCCTCATCCAAGGGCAGCCTGGGGACTGCAGGAGCAGAGGGGCAGTGCTGGGAGCCAAGTGAACCCTAAGAAATTTAATCTCTACATCTCATGAAAATATAGGGGATAACCTTCCTTCTCCGTGCAAGCCCAACCATGCTAGCTTTGGTCCCAAAACAGCAGTGAGGTTTTTGGTCCCAAAACAGCGGTGCCTGCGGTGACATTGCGGCTGCCGGCGCGGGCCCAAGCCGCAGCGTTTGTCATTGGGATGTGATACAGGCCAAGGCTCGGGAAATTACTCTGTGAAAAATGCGCATTAACAATAGCCATGAAATATGTTTTAAAAAAAAAAAAAAAAAGGGTGAATAATGAGACAGCAGCATCGATTAGTGCTGGGCATTCTTCACCCTGGCCCTGCTCTGATTAAAAAGTTGATGCAAAAGCCAGAGCCACTTTCCGGGAGCAGCTTTAAGGTTGTTCCTCCTTGAATAATTGAGGAGAGGAGGCTGCAGGACCTGGAAGCTCCCACCTGAGAACTGCACTTGGTGCAGGGTGCGCTCTGAGCGTGCAGCTTTCTCCCAGCACTCACCTTACAGTGAGGGGAATTTGTCTGTACGGCTCCTTCCTTCAAGGGCAAGAGGCTTAAACAAGGGGCCTCACGGATATTCTTCCAAATTATGTTTCCAAGCTGTAGGAGTCTTGGACCTAGCTGTACAGACTGTAATTCTTTGGCTCTTCTGAATGGGTATCAAGGAGTTAGCTCATTAGGCTTGGTGTAATGCACTAATTTACATATCCAGGATGTTTTTCTAGCAGTCTTCATCAGGCAGCTGGAAAAACTCCTCACAGAGCTATTCTAATGATTCCTGAGTTTTAGTTAGCTTGCTCTGTCAAATTACTCAGCCCTGCCTTGGGTTTCTCCTTAGGGACTCAGGTTGCAGAGCTCGTCTCGTGTAGATTGATACACTTGATTGATACACAAGTTCCAGCATTAAAACAGCAAGTGAAGGAATGTTTGGGGGAAAAAAATGCAGCAAAAGCTCCAGCTGTTCTGCAAGATGAAGCATTTGGGTGACCTGGGTGAGTGCTGACTCAGAGGATGCCGTTTCTGTTCAGAAGTGCGTTGTGCTGTTTGCAGCCCCAGCTTCAGCCTGGGCTCAACTCTGTTCTATTCAGGGCTCCATGGGAAGCAGAGACACCCCTGGGGCTATCCCTAATTTTTGCAGGATCTGAACTGCAGGATAAAGGGGATGCTGTGACCACACTGTGCTCTGCACAGGGAGGGCAGGTCCACAGGGAGTTAACTCCTGCTGCCCCCACGGCTCTCGCTCGCATGAGAAGTGTAGGATTTAGCCCCTCTTCCTTTAATCTCCCTTTCCTGCACAAGCCCCGTTCCTGGCAGAGGGCTTGCTGAGAAATTCTTCACACGCATGAAAGAGGCAGCCCGTGCCAGCGAGTACATTCCTGTAAATCTACAAAGCTCTTCTAGCTCCAGCCAGGGCTGATGGATTGAAAGCAACTTAACAAAAGAAAAGCAAGCTGGGCTCAGCATTAAAGTATGACAGTTAAGGGCCCTTTGGTACAAGTAAATCACATTTATTATTTCAGAGATGGTGGACAGAGTTCCTGAATCTCTGTTCTGTATGAGCATTACAACTTAAAGAGAAGCTCATTAGTTTTTCTTCTGCATTCCTCAGAGTCCTGTCAGAGTCTTTGCATAGCACCTGCCCCTGCCCAGAGAAATTAAAATATCTCTAGAAATCAGCTGTGACCATTTGGAGTTCCAGTTTGGGGCAAACATGAATTCTGAAGTCACCCCACCATTCAAGAGATACCTGGACAAGGCCTCTTGGACAGCTGTGTTCCTTAGAGCACTTGTGAACCAGGTCCTGTTTATGTAAATGGGAAGTTTTTGGCAAGTTCACAGTCCCAAATCGAGGCTCATTCTCTTCCCTTCCTTGCCTGAGAAAAAAACAGTCTGTTGAATTCAGCGTTTTGTGATTTAGAAAGCAATAACCCAAGTCCCTTTATGGTTCAGGCTTTATATATATTTTCTCTTCCTTCCCTTCTTTCATTGCAGCATAACGTGCCAAAACGAAGAGATAGTCGCTTAGCCTGGAAACAAGAGAAAAACAGGGAAAACATTTGACATCTCAGATGTGGTTATTTTTTCCAAGACTGTAGCACTAGGAACTGCAGGACAGCCAGGCAAGGAGACGCTATGAACAAGCGAGTCTCAAAGCAGCCTTCCCAAGGAAGGCAGCTGCTCCCTCTGCACCTCAGTCCTGCTCCCGTACACGCTGTGCACAAATGCTTTCTAACAAGCTGTTTATTAAAACTTTAAAAACTAGGAAGGAAGCTTCTTGAGGGGTAAAACCCTGCACTTCTTTGCCAAGATGAGAGGAACAACACCCAGCAAGCCTCCCTAGACACAACAACAGTTTGGAGCAGGGAGTGGCTTTTTGTTCTTACCTGTTTAAATATTTGGCCACATTTGGATCTGCTTCCCCTGCTTGCACTAGTGGCACCACACTAGAACAAGAAGAGAAAGCTGTGAGTGTATTTAGCTTGCTCTAAATGCGCAGATTAATGCACTTTGCTGGAGCGCTAAACTTTATGCACCAGCCTCACCCAGGCTTCGCATAACAAAACTACTCATTGCATCTCTTCAGGAGGACTGCAAGACTTATTCAAGCCTGCTTTTGACAAGGAAACCCTGATTCTGATGGTTTTTTTCCCCAAGATGACGTCGTTCCAGCGCATCTTGGTTCAGCAGTTTAAGATGCTGTTGTTGACCGCAGTGGAAATGTTCCTCTGCTTGTCAGCAGCTCCGTGAGGACCCCCAGCTCCTCGGGGAAAACTGCCCACTAGCAGTTTCAAGGCACCATGGGGCATTTTGCATGGAAGTGACTTATGTGATGAGCAGACAGGTGTTTCCTTCTGGAGACTTTACTGGGGGAGCTTTCACCTCCAAAAGAGGTACACGACAGGCAACATCTTAAGGTAGGCAGCAACACCTTAACCTGCTACAAAATTCCTGGCTCTCCTCTGCATCAATGCACGCTGGCATCAACAGTCCTGGTGCTTCTGGACTCCGAGCTCGGATGAGCCAGTCTGGGGGAGGGAAGCCCAGGACAAACACCCCAAACCTGACTCAAGTTCTAGCCCAGTGCAGGTCGCTAAAGGGCGGTTGCTCTGACTGCAACGTGCGTGGTTTGCAGGGCAGCAATCCGATCACCTTTCATCCGTTTTACTTGGCGACACCAACAGCCCAACACTCACCACCTCTCAGCTCTGCGGCAGACAGCTCGGGAAACGTGGAGAGCGGCGCTGCTTTTCCCTCCCGACTGGAACAACAATTAAACAGAGCGTTAATGCTGCTCATGCCAGGTAGCCACCCACCTCACTGACACACAGCACAGCTTATTGCATGGCATACACATGCAGCTGAGCCTTACGTTCTGGCTAAGTAGTTGTGAAGAGATATCTAAACACAACAGTATGTGCAGGGTTAGCTCAATCTGGTCCTTCTCTCTGCCTTTCTTTAGGTCAGTGCATGGACCAAGTGCCATACAAACTGCTTTGGGTTTTTTTTCCCCAGTGGCAGACAGCAGAGTAGATTTTCCCCGAAGAAGCAAGTGGCATAAGAAGCACCTACTGGCAGTATGAAAGCTCGGAGCGGGGGAAGCTCTTCCGAGTATTTATCAATCCACTGTTCCAGCTCCAGAACTGGCTTCTCACTGAAAGATGTTCGTTCTACAGAGGGGACAAAGCAAAAATCCAGAAGAGATTCAATCCTTAGATGAAACTGGATACTACTGGGATGAGTAAGTCACAAGAGAAGCATCCTCCGCATCCCTGCTGCTGGAGGGGGCTGGCTCCCCATCCAGCAGCTGGGGCTGAGGCCCTGGCTTTGGGACAGGACCCAGGATGGCCCCATGACACAGGTCACCCACTGGGCAGCTCTAGGGACCACGTGTGGCTTCCTCGCCTGGGGGACTGTCCCCAACCACCATGTGCAGCAGTAACGGTCTCTAGCAGCCAGCATTCCTCGCAGCGCCGTTATCCCAGGAAAGGTGCTGCGGGGCTTACTGAGGTGGGCCTGCCGGGCCGAGGAGAGGGGCGTCGCGATGTTGGAGCCCACGTCCTGCAGCATGCACTGCACCTGCACGAGAAACACAGCGCTTCCGTTAGCCACCCTTTGATGCTCTGGTGAAAGCGCAGCACGCTCGGGGAGGCGACAGCTGGTTGTGCTGATTAAAGAAGATCCCACCCGTGTTGTTCATCATCCCCCCGTCTGCTGGCAGGAGGGATCAGATAAGTGCTCCCTAATTGCTTTATGAGGAGCCACATTAGCACGTGTACTCATTTTCACTGGCACACTCAGCCGCCCTGGCTGACTTTGCAGAAAGCGGAGGCTGCAGCCTCGATACCGAGAGGCAGTTTGGAAAAGCTTCCCAACGCCTCCCATCAGCTACTGCTGAGCTCCTCTGTGCAACAAAGCTCACTTGCAAAACCCCTGGGCTGGTACAGTAGAAGCTGCTTCCCACCATCGCGCTCGCCTTGCTGCCTCGTTTTGCTTTCAGATTTGAGGCAAACGTGACAAGAAGGCCCAGCTCGTGTCTGCGAGCTCCTGCAGCCACAGCACTGAACGAACTGCTTGCAGGTACGTCCTTCTGCCCATAACCAATTTACTTGGTTTGCTGCTCGCCTTCTCGGATTACGGTGATGCACTTTATTACTTGTAGTGTAATTAGGGGTAAGACTCTCAAGCATTTACTCAATATCCCCTCGGTGAGATTCCTGTGTCCGGGGAGCCCCACGTCCACAGTCAGCGGCGAGGAACTGGCTCCGGCGGCAGGAGCGGGGCCGGCTCCAGCACTCACCTTGTGCAGCTGCTCCACGAACGCGTGGCCCTTGTCGCTGCTGAGCTCGCTGGCGAGCCTGCACGGACAGAGCGAGTCGGCGGGCAGCACCGGGCCCGCACGCGGGTTTCCCGTGGAAGCGCGCCCTTCCCGGGGGTCTTCCCGTGGAAGCGCCCCCTTCCCGGGGGGGTTTCCCGTGGAAGCGCCCCCTTCCCGGGCGGGTTTCCCGTGGAAGCGCCCCCTTCCCGGGCGGG